AGGAAAGGTTTAGAAAAATTCACAACTGAGAGAAAAGCAAAAGGTCTTTGTGTACTTTGGATAAATTCATGATCTTTGGAGACTGTCACAGTGAGCAGGATGCATCATATTTCCCTGTTTAACAAGCCCCTTGTTAATTTTGTCGGACAGAATATTCTGGATGAACCACTGGTCTGCCCTCCCCAGCACTTCCCACGATCCAACTGGCACAGGAGAGCTCTTTAAAAAACAATCTCTGGGAACTCATTTGCCAGAAATCATACACCTATGGAAATAAAATGGAGGGTTCATTATTTTCCACACTCTTGCCATTGTAAAGCACCTGTGCCCTCACACCACTCAGGAAACTGAAATAGAACACAGACGCAATGGAGGTTTGTTTACTTCTACATTTTCCATTTTTGCCGAAAGGGTTCCCGTGGGCATCATCGTGCCAACAGTGTGAGTTCTCTCCTCACAGATGCACAGGCCTTCCTTCTGGCCTTTCCCCCAACCCCCTCCTAATTTACTCAGATGATGGCCACCAATGGGACACTTCCTTTGTCTGGCTGGGATGACAGATGGCAGAGCTTCCACCGGGATTGGCATTAATAGGACTCAGAGGAGCTTCCGAGAGTGAATTGAGAGGCCATTCCTCTCTCGCCTCCAGAGACTTAGTACATCACATTTTGAATCCATCTTTGCACTCACCTCATAGGTAAAAGGGAAGAGGCCAGAGGAGATAATTACATGGTTACATTTAGCATTTATGTTTAAGAGAAGAACAATGAGCTTGGGCTAAAAGCACTGATGTGACCTAATCATTAACAATTTATCCCCTTTGTTACTGAAGTCAAAATTTCCAGAAAAAAATATTTTAACACACCCTTGGATAGAGATGATTTATTTTTATAAGCTGCAGCCCAGCTTATAAAATGAAAGCTCATACACACTGCAGCAAACCATCTGTCAAGGGGGATCCAGATGAGCTAAACAGATGCAACAATTCAAGTCATTTCTGAAATGCATAAATAAAACTAGCATGGAATCAGGATTAGAGAATACGCAAATCCTAAATATTTTTAAAATGTCAATGGGAACTCATCAGTGTCAGATAACCCTCTACATACAGAGCTCTTCATTGGAAGAGAGATTTTTTTTTTTTTCCTTTCTTAGCCTTCTTCTTGACTCAGTAGATAATAGTAGAGAATTCAGAATAGTGGATAAATAATAAAAGAGCCCCCTCTTAGGCTACCTAATATTTTTGAATTAAATAGGAAAACAAACTCTGGAAGGACTCTGAGAGCAAAAGCTTCAGGTAAAAGTAGTGAGAGTTTACCGAGTGCTTACCAAATGGCAGTGTTTTAAGTGCCTTGTACATATTAAATTTCACAACCCCATGGTCAAGTACCTTACAGTTCCCATTTAAAAGATGAGAGAACTGAGCCTCTAAGAGATTAAGAAGCTTGACAAGGGCCATACCAACAGTCAGTGTTGGAGCTAGAGTCCAGGCACCATTTTCCATTTTCTCAGCATGCACTGAACGTTATTTCCAGAACACAGAGGAATGATAGTTGAGGCCATGGTGGAGCCATTTTGAATCGAGGAAGCCCTACCAGTCTTTGCACAGACTCTTCTAGTACAGAACAAACACAGGCAGAGAATGCGACAGTTGGAGCTGTCTGGGGATCCACAGGATCTCTTCCTACCCCTGACTCTGGCTTCCTCTGTGGTCACCCAGATCCTTCCCGACATACTCTGCTTTGGAACCTCTTTTCTTGGCCCCAGCTCTGACTTTCCATCTCCTAGCAGGACTCTATCTTGTGCCCTTCCCACTAACACCTCATTTCTATTTGAATTTTCATTCTGTCCTGTGGCTTCTGATTTTTGAGTTGCATATGAACATAAAAGCTGGGATGAGAGGAATTTTGACTGTAGAAAGTATTTCTTATCAGCAGTGTTTCTCAAAGAGTGGTCCTCTGGCAGCATGCAGAGGCATCAACTGACAATGCTTAAGAGAAGGCTGGATCCCAGCCTCCAGGCTGCACCTCCTATCTCAGGCATCCAGCTCTGGAGATGAGGCTAATGGATCTTTTTAACAAACTCTCCAGGTGATTCTCCTACACACTAAAATTTGAGAACCACTGATAAATAGAAAGAGTTTCATGCTTAATAACCCAGTGATAATACTATATTTACTCATCAAGAAAAGCATTGAGTTTCCCTACAAAAAGCAGCAGAACTTGGAGGAGCTGATCAAGTTAGCTTGTTCAGAGTTTGTAGGTGACTTGGAAATTTGCAGGCTACTGACAACTGAGCATATTACAGTGCAACATGTACCATGTTTTTAGAAATTTTATCTAGGTTTCCTCAGAAACAATTATCTTACAAAGTCAGATAAAGAGGCCATTCACAGGAGACTAGCTGCTACTTGAGGGTGTCCTCAGCCACATATTCAGGGATTAACAGAATAAAGAGAGTAACAGAACAAAATGAGAGGGGAACAGTCCAGACTTTCTTCAGCCTCCAAACCTGCCACCATTTTCCTAGAATTTTTTAACACGGATCTGGGGAGGCACACGATCATCCTACCACAAAATGGGGTTTAAATTGTTTATGGTGGAACACTTCACCCCATAGCCCACCTGTACTCTATTGGCTTCCCCTGTGGCTCTCCAGCACCAAGGAGCAGTTTCCAATAACCATCACCTGGGAGCGCTCTTCCAAAGTCCCATTCCCGGCCTCTGCCCAGACTTCTTGAGTTGGAGCTATTAGGAATCGGGCCCAACAATATGTAATCTATAGATACGTATCTTGAATGATATAATTATCATTTGGCAAACACTGCATCAAAACCTTAACTACAATATATTTCCACCTTCTCACACACTTTATTAATGTGCAGTCTCCATTACAAGAACTTAGCCAGTCTTCTTTTAAGTTTCTAGAAAACAACACTTGTAAGAATAAAGGTTTTAGCTCAACTGCATAGGAGGCTTTATCTCAAAGCGAATTACACTGAAGCTTCAAGGACTCCTGTAAGCATGTCCTTCTTCCAAGCACTTAAAATAATTTTTAGTCATAATTTTGCTTTTATATTCTCAGAGCATTCCAAATTGGGTAAGCTCTGGGCACCACAGAACCTGAACCTGTCCCTGTCCATAAATGATAGCATATATGACTAAGCCCTGCCAAATAGCCCCAAATTAAATATTTTTAATAGTTTGGGTTTTTTTTTCTTACCAATGCGTTCCTCTGAATATTCAGCCCCCTTTTAACCTGATACTGTGCACTGCAGCGGTATATTTTTGACGAGGGTTACGATATTCATTCAGAGACAATATTAGTGCCGTGATGGCCTGGGACAAGAGCTGATAGCAGGAACAGATGGTCCAGGCAAAAGCCCACCCAAAGGGATATGATGATGCCATGTGTGTGAGAGCTGTTTGAGAAGTCCGAGAGAGTAGCATGCTTCAGAGATTAAGTGGGGACTCTGAAACCACACTATGTGACCTGAACTCAAATTGATTGATTTACCCAGTGAATTTAATAGATGGGTCTATTCATTTTGAATAGGAAAAGAAACCTGCTGCATCTTCCCTATTCATGAGCTCATTCTCCAATTTAGGAAGGTCGCTTCATGCTCAAAGCGAAAACCAGCCTTCAAGTTGGGAAGCAAAGGTTTTTTGCAGGACTCAGATGTTCACGTTTTCTGTGCTTGGGTTATTTTTACTCAGCAGCACAGACGGTAGGGTAAGCACAGATTTCTTCAGCAGTTTTTATTATAGCAGGTGTGGGATCCTAAGCCATTGTCCTTAAAACACACACACACACACACACACACACACACACATACACACACAAACACACACGCATACATTCACTTCGTGCATTTGAACGTGCTTGGGAACTAACACCATCCTTTATGTGATCGTTTGGCTGTCTGCTTCTGGTTAGGGGAAAAAAAGGTATAAAACATAACTTTAGGAAGACCCTTTTCAGGTGAGAATGACTGAGATGTCATGAAGGAATATTATGATAAATCATATCAGAGCCATTTCAAAAAGAGGGCATCTCTGCGAATGAAAGATACTCACCAGTGTGAGGATCTGCAAGAGACCTGAGAGAAACATGAGCTCTGCCACAAAAGGAGGCTTTGATCAAATGAGAAGTGGCCTAATCCCTAAAGGCATAGGGTCTGATTGGTGCTCTAGGGTACCACTCTTCCAATCTCAGCAGGAATTGAGGAACACAGTGTAAAGGGTGTTAATGGTGAAAAAACATACTAAGCTGTATGTTGTGAGAAAGCAAGCAATCTAATGAAGAAAACCAAGGTAGACAGGTGTCTGGAGCATGGCAGAGTAGCTAACTATCTATGCCGAAACCATGGCCTCCTGCAAGAACAGCAGATGCAAGTACAGTAGATGTCAACCGAAGTGGCTGTCCAGCTGGGGACCATATTTCCTCCTTGACTCTAAGATGGGCTATCTGATGAATTACTGCCAATGATATGCGACTGGAGGGCACATGTCTTTTTCCCATGTCAAGGCGATTAAGAAAAAGATAAGCCTTCTTCATCCTCTTCTCCATTCTCAACATTCCCATTTGCCTGCTGGATGTTGAAAAGCCCCTAGCAGCCTAAGTCCCAGAACGATAGTTTGGAAACCCCAACTAATCCAGGACCACCTTGCACTATTAAGTGAGAAATAAAACTACATGTATGCATGCCTCTAAAATTTTTTTTTTTTTTAATAACAGCTAGTATTACTCTAAGTAGGAGACAGTCAAATCGTGTTTAAAGTTACAGTATAGGGGCGCCTGGGTGGCTCAGTGTGTTAAAGCCTCTGCCTTCGGCTAGGTCACGATCTCAGGGTCCTGGGATCGAGCCCCACATTGGGCTCTCTGCTCAGCAGGGAGCCTGATTCCCTCTCTCTCTCTCTCTGCCTGCCTCTCTGTCTTCTTATGATCTCTTGTCTGTCAAATAAATAAAATCTTTAAAAAAAAAAAAAGTTACAGCATACCTGTTATGTGAATACGATATTCTTCCTTGAAGATCTTTTGGAAGAAAGGAATCTTGAACTGCATGTGGGGAGTGTGTAATCCAGGAAGATTTACATCAACATCTCCCATAAAATGTGGGAATTCCCAGTCCTGTCAAAGAAAATCAACATAAAAACATATTTGTGATTTGTTTCGTTCCTAAGCAGCAAAATACCAAAAATTGACTTTTTATAAGCACTTATTTTAAGATCATTTAAATGCAGCAAGCTGTTAGATGTATCTGTTTCATTCTGTGATGGTTATTTTATGTACATTAGGTAGTTGTGTGCATTCAAAATCAAAATTAAGTCATAACTTACATCCTCAGATTTCTCTTTAATGTGGTAGTAAGAAACCAATATAGAATTGATTTGCATCTATACGTGCTTATCTCTTTCATTTTGGAGAACTGATCTTAAATGTTTATAAGAAGGAAGTAATCCATATTTTATAATATGTGGTAATTTTGTTATATTTTGTCTCACTACCTTTAAAAAATATGAACCCCATAATATTATGTTTTGTGTAAGAAGACAAAGTAAAGAGGATCTAATTCACTTAACCAAGTTTCTCAAGTCACATCCAAGGGACTTTTATTAATCATCTCTGCTAGTAACTACATGGAGTGGAAAAATGCCAAAGACTCCTATTCTGTTCTCTTGCAATTTAGCATCAATTTGAACCAAAATGATGGAGGGCCTGACATGCTAGCATGAGAGATGAACAATGAATTAATTCCCAAATTGTCTTAGTTATTTTCTTGTTATAAGGCAAGATCAGGAGGGATGACCCTCCTTCTCATAAGGAAGGGAAACAGTTGCAAATGAGGATATTTTTAGGTGTCTCATCTGCTCTTCGCTTTTGGGTACAGCACCAAAGTTCACAGCTAACATGTGAAGAAAAAAAAAAGACTAAATATGAAAAAACATTTGAGGTGGATCCACAGGCATTAATACATGTATTTCCGCTTTTAATAACTAAATAATCACTAAATTATCAGTCCTATATTTAGTGAACTTCTTTTAAAAATATTATTGAAAAAGTGATGAAATATGAATTTCAGATTTCAATACATTATTTCAATTTAAAAAGTTTCTCCAAGACTTCTGTATATTCAGCTGATACAGATGTGCCAATGATAAAGTGCCTGAACGTCATAGGAGTGTCCATGTCCATTCCACTCCCCTAATTTATTATTTACTTTTTTTTTTGAGAGAGAGATTGAAAGCAGGTTGGGGGGTGGTGGGGGCAGAGGGAGAAGGAGAGAATCTCAAGCAGGCCCCTTGCCCAGCAAGAAGCCCAACACGGGACTCGATCTTATGACCCCGAGATCATGGCCTGAGTGGAAAACAAGAGTCAGAGACATAATCCATTGAGCCACCTTGGCACCTCACCACTACCCTATCTGCTGAGAATTCTGGCCAAGGGGGAATAGGTTTCAGAGGAAAGGAACCTATGAAAGTGATGGTAACCAGGTAAGTTTTCAATGTCTATTAATTTCATGATCTATGGATCACTCCAAACTGCTAATAAGAAATTCTTAAAGACACAAAAAGAAAAATGAAATGATACCACATCATCTTTTTCTATTGCAGATAACTAGTTGGTCTCACCTCTCCTTGCTTTTCAGACCTCAGCAGTAAATAGACACGTAATTTGGAAAATTCAGAAAACTCAAAACACAAGCTGGATAATTTAGAACATTTTGATCTAAACTATTAGTAGGAAATAGATTGGCAGTAATACTTGTGAATTATTGCATTTTTAAAAAACGCATTTTCCTTGGGGCGCCTGGGTGGCTCAGTGGGTTAAAGCCTCTGCCTTTGGCTCAGCTCATGATCTCAGGGTCCTGGGATCGAGTCTCACATCAGGCTCTCTGCTCAGTGGGGAGCCTGCTTCCTCCTCTCTCTCTGCCTGCTTCTCTGCCTACTTGTGATCTCTATCAAATAAATAAATAAAATCTTTAAAAAAATGCATTTTCCTTTATTTTTCATCAATACCTTGTTCTTCTTATGTTACTTAAAATACTCTTGGTAAGAGAATTGGAATTGAATTTGGTCTTTTTTTTTTAAGATTTTATTTATTTATTTGACAGACGGAGATCATAAGTAGGCAGAGAGACAGAGAGAGATGAGGAGAAGCAGGCTCCCTGCTGAGCAGAGAGCCCGATGCGGGACTCGATCCCGGGCCCCTGGGATCATGATCTGAGCCGAAGGCAGAGGCTTAACCCACTGAGCCACCCTGGCACCCTGAATTTGGTCTTTTGTTAAAATATAACTGACATCTCCCATGAAAAATTATGCTTGACACATAAAAGGACTGATGACCAGAGAGTCTTTCACTTGCCCTAGATAACACAAAGCATTACCAACAGAGTAATTCTCTTTTTTATTTCTTGGTTTATGAAAGAGAATACTTCTTGGTAGTAATTGGGCAAGTATACTTAGTGTACCTTCTTTTTGGAAATACGTTCTTGGACTATTCTCATTTAGCTTTTTATTCCATGAAATGAAAGTTTTCTACTGCGTATGAAATTGGTTTTAGTTTGAAAGTGATCTCTAGAGATTTCTTGTAGAATGAGATCAAAACTTGATTCACGAAAAAATAGTTCCTCAATGATTTCCCACCTGTAGTCGGAGAAAGAAAGATGAATTAAGGAAATAGAGTGCAGGCAAATGAGAAGAGAAAGTCTTGCTCCTTATCTGGATAATGGTGTTACTTTTTTTTCTTCTTTTTTTTTCCCTGGTAAAGAGGTCATCAGTATAGGGAGTTTGGGGGAATGTGTGATAGAAGTAGCTGGTGTCTAGTAAGAAAAGTTTTTGGAAAGAGGATTAATTAAAAAAAAGACATTACATTCTCTTAGAGTTATCTGTTCTACATTATTTTTGTATAATCATCATATTTTGCTTTTCCTTAGTCTTGGACTCCCTGCCCCCCTCCTTCTCTCTCTGTTACTCCAGTGTTAGTACTTCAATTCCTACTCTGCATACTTCTCCAGACTCATTATTGGGTTAGTGTAAACTCTGACCACACTTGGCTTAGATTGGAATGCTAATAATAATTGCTTCCATTTGCAGGAAGTGTGAAGCTTGTCTTCATGGATAGGGATATCTGAGGCTGATGATAGCCCAGGTATTTACTTAAAGGAGGTAAAAGGGGAGGGGGATGGAGTTCTGAATCTCCCTAGGTGTCAGCCTCTTCATCTAAAAATTGGGGTTAAATACAGTAACTTCACAGGCTCCTTGGGAAGATGAGATAATGCTTGGACAGCAGTGAGCAGGGGCTGGAGACAGAGGAAAGAGACAGGGAAATGGCCAACAACCATGGTTGGTTTCCCCACATGATCCCAAGGTCAAGTTTATCCTGAGAGTGAAGCAGAGGAAGCAGATGGGTCTGTTTTCAGAATCACATGTAAAGCTGGTTCTAGGTCCTGGTGAAAAGCTTGGATACAAATGTCATGAGAATCATGGCTTTCTTTCCTGCTGCATAAATGTAAAATATGTATTTTGAACACAAGATCAAAATGTTAAGAGAATGACAAGGCAAGATGTGTTTAGCTACTAAGACCACAGTAGATATAAGTTAATGCTGTGCCTATTATGAAATGTGCATTTATTTTGTTCTTCAAGAAATGTTATCAACATTTAGTAATTCAAAGTGGCCTTCTTTCTGTTATTAAATCTAACAATCACTATAGAAGTCTGTCACGTTTGTGGTTCAGTGAGGTGAGAATTATTTTGGCATATCAGGTCATATACATGCTACTCCAGTTCTCCTCAGTTCATGGTGATGAACAGACTTCCAACTTTGTATATTGCTTCATATAAGAAATAGTTAATTTACATTCAGATGGGCATATTTCCCGTATCAGTGTAAATGAGCAGTGCCATGGCATAAATCTAAGCTTATTTCTTATATACTATGGCTTACTCTGCCTATAGCAATAAAAATCGCATTTGGACATGTAATTTGGACTAAGGCGTCCAAATCTGATTCTGTCCAAATGCAGCCCTATCATTCATGGACCACATTTGGACAGAATTTTAAGGCAGCATTCAGTATATAGGCAAAATGGTCTCGGGATATGCTGGATTCACCATTCCCTCATGTTTTCTCATTGAGACGCATGCCTTGGGGCCAAGAAAAAGAAGTTGGTACTATGCAGAGGAACTCAAGCTTGAAACCAACAATGTTTTGAATTCCCCAACTAGCATTCAATTTTCCAAATCAAATGAAGAGACTTCATTTCTATTTAGAAAAGCGTTAGAGGATAAAAATGTAATAACACTGATTGCTCTACCCCACAAAACTAAAGCCACAGTATCAGGACAAAAGTTATATTTGGGGGGCGGCAAATATTGGCCACCTGTTTTTTTAGGAAATTAAGAGATAGATTAGGTTAGATTTTACTGAAGAGTATTGATAACCATTTAGAATAGAACTGACTATAGATTTTTAAATGTTAATAAAAAGTAGCAACATTTTTCAATGGAATAAGTTATATATCTCCTCTTTAGACACATTAGATGATTTAGCTTAAAATGCTTTCAAAAGCAAACTTTACAGATATGCTCTGTTTTCTGTTTGTTAATCTCTATTTCTTCTATTTCAAAAACAGATTTAGTCCCATGAATATCAGAACATCAGTTGACCAAAATTTCCCCAGCTTGTAAATGTCCTTAGCTTTTCTATGTTAGCAAGCGTCCTAGCACTAGGATTTTAGGTAACAGTGAGCCATGGTGGCCTGAAGAATTGTACTCATCTCTGGGCGATATTATGGTTTCTTATTAAGAATCTCAATTGTCTGATTTCTTTCATCAATTCTATCATTCTTCTAATTGGCAAAATTGCTGTGGTATCACTTGGTTGAGTGGCTGAGTAAATCCTTGAAAACATTGACATATAGTAAATTTTGCTTATTTGTTTTTTCCATGCCTGCCTCTCCCATTGGAACATAAGCTCTAGGGAGCTTACAGAAGTTTTCCCTTCTTTGTTCACTGGTCTATTCCCCAGACCTGAAATAGTACTTAGCATCTAGTAAGAACTCAAAAATTTGTTGAATTGATGAATGTAACTCTCTGAAAGTTAAACATGTACAAGAGTCCCTTTTT